GGAGGTTACCAAGGATAATAAAGATCCTCCGGGTATTGATAAGCTGAAAGATAAATCAAAAAGAAGGCGACAGCATCTGGTCAGGAAATACATGTAATAATCTTAAAATATCTGCTTTCATGATTAACACGCTTAAAATGAAAATTTGGTTGAAGATTATTTGAACTATAAAAAATGGGATTACAATAATAATAATAAAACGATGCGTGTTAATAACTTAACATATAGGCAGTAATTATTTTGTGTTTAGAAATATTAAAGTAATGAATATTGTAGAAATGTTATTATTGATATGAGTTTTGGTTTAATTTATGAAACCAATTAACAATTATTCCGGTAACCCGTCCATATGTGATTTCCAATTGCATCTGTATTAGTAGGCTAACTGGAAGAACAAAAGTATTACCATGGAAAAGAATTCCAACTAGTGTTCCAGTTACTTTGATTCGGTTTATTTAGTTACGGGGAGATTTTCTCAACCTCATTTTTTCTTGACCGTGATAGAATTCAGTAATACTACTAATACACATGAATGTTCATCAAAACAAAATTTAAATACGTGAGTGATGATTATATGAATTTTGGACAGATAGCTAGGAACAAATCGTTAAACACGAGTGTATTCGTAAGAGACATGCTCTAGACTCAATGTTCTGACCTGCGATAGACTATTTATTTATATTTATACTTGCCGGCTGATTGAGCATACAAGTTAGTTGCAAGTATGCAGTTTATAATAAGGCGGAATACGATTTAATTGAGATATAGTGGTTATAAGTTATTAAAATCAGTTAAGCCTATGGGTCATATTACGAAGTGATGTGGTGCTGCAAGATGTATTTAGCTAAAAAAGTTTTTACAAGATGATTAATAGTGAGTGATGCTCATGTGGTTATCGGGTAGTACATAAGTTGTAACCAAGGGGAATACACTCCCAACTCACGTCTATGATAATAGCTTGAACCTTAGTCAGTGTTGGGGTAAATTCGACATTGATGTTTTCAGTTTGCAGGAGATTTGCTCGACTGCTTATACTGATTATTTGCATGCATGATTGTGTCGCTAAACCATCAATTAGACAGACAAGGTTTTGAGATATTTACTGAGTGAGCATCTGATAGAGAAACATACTGTAATCATCTGTGATGGATGAAGATACCAAGAAAACAACACCATTTAATGGTAATTATAGGTCAATTTGTTGACCGATTTGGTTAATAGTTTCATTAATTTTATCAGTCATATTACGTGATTGTCAAGTTATGACAATGCTTTATGACGATATCCTGAAACTATTAAATTTAACTAGTTATAGTGTTGAATGAGGATTAGTCAGTGGAAAAATAGGTATTGGTGTGATTCGAGATTATCAGAAATTTGTAACGTTAAAGAATCTGAGACGCCTAATTTAATTATAAATTTTAATTCAGAAAGATTCGTTTAGTGTTAATTCTAGTAGGCTACGGAGTTTTGATTTGAAACGTTTGTTTAGCCAACAGCTACCTAGGGATTTAGTTATTTTACTACTGCAGTTGATAGTACCTAAATTTTTAATCTTATTATCTAAACTATGTTCGCATTTTAGGCTGCTAATATGATACACCAATCCATAAACCCAAATACGATTAGCAACAACGACTATGATGGGTTTATTGATAAATGTTAAAGGCGATTCAGATGATTTCTAAATTCAGAAGATATGAAGATATATTAAAACGTATGTACGGGCCAGGTTAACATGCAGGTTGTTGACATATATAAAAATTTAAAAATAATGAACATGACCAGAAAATAATTTTAAAGTTAAGACTGCTTGTGAAACTTTAGGCAGGAATATGATGCGTTATAAACCTTCCATAAGAAGTTACTGCATTTAGCTTAGTGACACTTACAAATATATGGCAAAAGCAACTGAAAAACATATACATGTTAAGTACAAAAAAAAATCATCCAGTAAAATAGTTGAACTCGCCTGGATTATTTTTGAAAATTAGATTATTCAGTGGACGACATATATAACGCCATTCGTGAGTAGTAATGATCCAAAAGCATCCAGAATAAAACATGCAGTATGGCAATCACTTCCAGGGTGCTTGATGCTGTTGAGGTTTTTGGGACTCGCTCTGATCAGAACAACTGAATGAATCCAGATAATTGTGTGTGCCATTGAATGAGCCATCTCAAATGAACTTATGATTGCAGAAAACTTATAGCTGGAACTCACCGTATTTTTTTGGAGAAGTGTCATCCTTGTTGTTTGGCAATGGAACTCGAAAATTTGAAATTAGGCAGGCAGTGGTCGGAAGAAAAGATATTACAGGATAGTGCGTAATTTAAAACAGGATGAGGTGTTAAGTGAAGGAACACTGAATATTAGATCCTGATAACTATTTAGTCCTTGATCGCATTGTTAGTCAATGTATATTTACGCTATTTACAGGTCATATTTGCTAGAGCTTGATGTTTAAACAAGCCTATGTCGCTGAAGCATGTAAATGCTATTAAAGCTTGTTAACGAACCATCAAGGCTAATTAGTTAATATAGACGACCAGATTTTATTATCGATTGAGCTGGTTTGTCATGAAGACTAATCAATATAACATTTCGATAATGCATGTGAGCATTAATCAGAGGACTATTAGAATACAGGGTTAACATAAATATAAAATCGATCGAGAAAGTTTAAGTGGATATAAGGATTAATAATAATAGGTTGCGTTTCTTTAGTTGGGCTCACCAATGTAGAATTATGGTCTACCATTATATTAGTACTGCTCTAATAATAGACCTAATCCCAAAATTGTAGATTCGTCATGATATAACTGCCTAATCTATAAGATCTTACGTGGAAGTCACACCATCGACTACACCAACTCACTGTATCGTATCAATTACCAATACATGATGTAGAACAAGGTTAGGCTAGAGAAGGAACAATATATTTAATATGCCACTCGATCAACTCCAGTCCATTCAATTCATTGTTCGCGCCTTCTCCATCGTTAGGTATTTATCCGCGTTAAATATTGAATATCTACTTTCTGAGTAGTCTCGTGTTCAGCTTTGTGGATTGTTTAATGCCACTACAGACTCACCAAGCTGAAGGCGCTCGGTCATGCATCCGTACGTGTGGGAACGCCGTGCTCCACATCTACTGCAATCGCTGGCCAGACTAGATCAGACAATTCCGATATATTGGCAATCGTCAAATACAACTTCTGATCTCTTCGATTTTGTCTTTTGATTTCTCTTGGTGGGTACGAGTTATATTAGAAGGTGTTACTAGTTAAAGCGTTGTCAAACACTGAATACCTGTGCCATCTTCACACCAAACGTACTTAAAGCTATCTTATAATATATGACAGCAACAGTACCAAAGGCACTTTTTTCCTATTTTTAATCAGACTGATTTCAATCACTATACTCATTAAAAACAGGCAGTTCTACTTACTAAACTGGTCCGTTTCGTTACAGACTTTAAGCACTATACTTAAGTATACTATAATTCTATAGAATAATCTAAATTATACGGCAACTAAGAATACTAACCTAAAAAAGTGTCATAATTATTGTTCCATTTGCACAGACATGTTGCTAAACGGAGTAAAATGAACATAATTCAGCCGATAAAACCAAAACACGAAATATGGGCCAGTCGAACTTACCTAAGAGAAGATAGAGGATATATATTGCTTTGAAACTGAAGACAACAATCAGTTGTTCATAAAAACATGGTCTACTGTACAACAAACATTTCTTCAGGAACCTCATGCACTGACGGTCTATCTGGAAACAATAACCTGTGTGATTAAACTAACTATGACTTGAGATATCATTCCAGCGTGCAATGAACGCATAGTGTAACGCAGTCGAACGTGGCGAATAGAAATTAAAAACAGAGCAGAATTAACAACATAATCTGGTTATTTAATTAATAATATATTATGAAATGACAAAATCTGTGGTTGTTTGAACACACAGATGACCCTGGGCGATACATTAAGTTTACATGGTTGCGTTGCGGATAAATTCACCCGACCACGAAGTGTGACTTCGACGTTAGCTGGTCCGTCACGCTATTCCCGTCTATCCCGAGGAGGTCTCCGATCACTTGACATAGATCATCTACGTTGGTGATCTACAACTTTCTATAATGTATGCAAGTGATCTCTCAAATATAGTAGTCCCCAATGTTGCTATACGCTGACTATATAAAAATCTGACATCAAATAACGGGAGACGCAAATTTATGCGCGCTTCAGGCAGACTTAGATATTGTGATCAACTGGCTACGGAGTGGCTGATGCCCATCAACACGGCAAAGTGTGTCTACATGCACTTTGGGTAAACAAAGGTAAACGGGTACAGCATAGGGGGAACGCCTGTACTCGTGGTCTGGTCTCACAAGGATTTTGTAATGACAGTGGGTCATGATCTTAAGATCACGGCCCATCCCCTGGTAGTCACAGCTAAAAGGTTTAAAACCCTGTGGGCTATAAGACGAACATTCGCCAAGTTAAATACTACCATGTTCAACACAGTATACACAACTTTAGTATGAACTAGGCTTGTGAACTGCGTTCAGGCTGCAAGCCCCTGTTCAAAAGGTGACTAGGATATCCTGAAAAAAGGACAGAGGGCAGCTACCTCTGCAATTCCAGAGCTCTAGGGTTTACCATACCAAAAGCGGTTTAAAAAGCTAGACCTCTTTACTCTGTCCTATTGCAGATTAAGAGGTGATCTGATTCTGATGTATAGAATACTTGGAAATGATTTGGACCTCATGTATCCTTTCGTTTTCTTTCTATCAGATTTAGACAACTCAGAGGACATGGTAGGCAAGTATAAAAAGCAAGAATCAATAAAATATCCGTGGCATATAGGTTTACTTGAACGCACAAACGACAGTGTGCGATACATTAAGTTTACATGGTTGCGTTGCGGATAAGATCACCCTGTTATCCGAAGCAGTGGTGTCTTCACTTTCCACTAGCTCATTCTAAGGAAGATTGGACACTCACAAAAGCATAATAGTAAAGGAAAAACGTTGGCCGGATGGCCTCTGTCTTTACTAAAAACAACTGATTTGTGAATTTCATCCCGGAGGGAGTTTGGTCTCAAGGTTACTCGCGCTAGGTAATTCCGCAGAATTTGCATTTTTTTGGTACCTAGGCAAACAAAATGAGGGAAGTAAAGGCGAAGTTTGTTCGAAATTCGGTGAAAGTGTGTAATGATAGTCAGTGTGAATATAAGTGACAAGTCATCAGAATGTCGCACTTTTCACCAGTCCGGGATAAATAGTGTGTATTTTCCCCAATGAGAGAACTTTCGAAATTAACGATTTTGCCTCCCCCGAAGCCAACTCAATCTGTTCATTCTTTCCCGAAATTAACCCTGATTTGTATTTTTGATCTAAATTACCCTCAATTCGTCTACTTCCCCACAAAATTTACTCCAAACTGTCAAATCTTACAGGTGAAATAGTTAAATTTTAGCTGAACTTAGTGCTGTAGTATACTACATGGTTTGGAGATTCGCCTTTAATTCCGTAGATCAGACAAATCATATACGTGCTCGACAATAATCAACATAGTGGTTTAAATGGGAACGATTTGTTAACATTTTTCAGATATACAGTTGTCAGGATCATTGACGTAGAAAAAATAGTGAAACACCTACATTAAAAATGACAAAAGAATTGTCTTCGATGGTAATTTTAAAAAGTTAGTGGGAGTTTTATGTGCATATACGAAGAAAGCTTAATCCATACGAGATACTCATATACATTAACGTTTATTTTCGACATCCAGTTAGTTTCAGTGTACTCGGCCAAAGTGAGAAGTTTATTGTGAGCTTAAGGAGTTTTAATTGAACATAAAGGTTTTTACACTAGGGGTTACGTGCACAGTAACAGGGTTTTCAGTGACAAACGGAATTTTCATCACTTGAATTTTAAAACAGAACAGCAGTTGACAGTTATCAATGTTTTTGTAGAATGCTTTTCATGTATTTGTTATTCAATGCCCTGAAACTTACAGTTATATTGCAAAGGGCAGATGATGGGATCCAAAAAACGAAAAGAAAATGTTCAGTTACAAAACCGCACTTAATCTTCCTTTTAATGATAACGCCTGTCCACTTTATCTCTCTTTTCTTAAAAAAACCTTGTGTAGCCACGTCGTTCACCTTAGCAAGATCTTTTTCGCTGACCTTGATAAATAGAAATTGTGATGTTAATGCACCTTTTTAATAACATAAATTAGAATGTAGTCCTACATCATATAGTGTTATAGAATCTGTACTTTATAATATCCCGTTTTGTATCAGTACCTATCAATGTGAAGTTCATTGCTAATTCTGGTTTGATCAGGTGTAATAGTAGAGATTTGAGGGACGTTTTCGGATAGTGATCATTGCCCTATAAATAGTACACAGATTGTAAACTAAATCAGTTTACTTACAAATTTATCCCTTGTAGCTTCTTACTGAATTAACACACCTGAAGGTTACAGTTCATACTCAGTTAACAAAGGGAACTGTAAGCTGGCTAATCCCCCGCTAAATTGTTTTGACTGGTAATCTGTTGCTGGTGTTTTCAATAACAGCACTATTTGCCTCATATTTACGGACAACACAATCTCGGCTGACAGTTCTTTCATGTTTGTATATATCTTTGATGATCTACAAGACTTCAGAAAGTTCCAAGTAAAGCTTACTGGTCACAGATTGCAGTGTTATCGAGTGTTCAGACAGCGACTGACAACAACAACTCTACTTCCATTGGACTTATTCACGTAGTTATAGAGATCACAGACTTACTTGGTAATTGAGAAAGTTAAGGTTTCGAACAGCCTAAATTTGAATACTCGACCTGGCTGTATCCTGTTTACATTCCAGCGAAATCCAAAAAGTCGTGTAAGTAATTTGACCGGTGCTTAAATACAATGGTAGAAAATCAGAAACTGTAATTGATTTACCGTTTGGGTTTTTCTGAGTACATGGGTGCAGTGTTTTCATCCTGCGAGTGACAATATCCGATTTTATTGGTGAAGGGTTTGACCAAGTCTGAAGCACATCTGAAATCATCTATAAGGAAACAATTAATCCTTCTTACTAACCAGAGTAGTGAATAGCTGCACATTTTACTGTGGACTAACTGTCGTTCAGATCCACGTTGTTTCTAATCACCATGTCCACTGAAGTGGTCAGATACATGCATAGTTTTTGATCTACTAGCCACTTGATAGCTACGGCTAGAACCTCTCTACTAACAAAGGCGTTTTCAACTACAAACTTTTTAAGTGTAGGCTAAAACCAATTTTAAAAAAGCATTTTATGATTACTACATTTTCAGGCTTAAATGATGTAAACCTAGTATTCCTACAAGTTATTACCTGTTTTTGCGTCATAGTTAACTGAATTTTTGTCATTCATGGCGAGATTACTGCCTTTCGACCTACTAATAACTGATTTCTCAGTGTACCACTGAATAGCTTGTTTGGCTGCAACGTATCAGCAATATATGATCCTTATGATCTGATGTATATAGGGCTCAAAAAGAAGTGAAGAGTATATGTCCAACACATTACGTAGATTGACGTCATCAGCAATGTGCTTAAGTAAATAAATTTTGTAAATTAAATGCCCTACATCGTAGCAGCACTTATATCCTACAAGGAAATTACTTCCTAACAGACTCAACCGAACTGCTACATGACTTAAGATGAGGTAAGGAATAAGTAGCTAACTGTAGGAAATTTAGATAAGAAGGCAAGGTAGAACATTTTTTAGTGTAGTCAGACTTAAATACAGAAGAAATAAACAACATTCTGTTGCTTTCCAAATAGATACATACTCTAAATTTTTCAGCACACTGCAACAGTAGTTCACTTGTAGTCGTGATGACAGTCTTTGTCATGCTTTTAAGTTTCTTATGTGATAAATCGAGCCATAAGGTTATCAGCTTTTTGATAACACCCATGTATACTAATTATATAACATCTACAGAGAAGGCGTGAGAAACGATGTCTTTTCGTTTCTCATAAAAAGTGGTTGTGTCTCCTTTACCTGAAAGATTTCTTCTGATTGTACCTTTTCGTTCCGTCGTTACTACCACACTACCTTACTCCAATCTCTTCGTCATTGTTCTCTTTTTCTTTTGCGTTCCTTAGTTTTTTTTCTTTCTTTCTACTTCTCTTCGAATTCTCATTGTTTTGTGTGGCGCATATATATTGGCGCTCTCTTGTACCAATATTTGTGTTCAAATAAATAAATAATAATAAATACAGAGAAGGCGTGTAACATGCTAATACCTATTTCGAAGTCTGAAATTCCACGATGGTGAGTGGCTTGACTCTGTTGAAAAAACTTACTGTTATTACTTTCTATTTTTCAGGTTATCCATTTTCTTCTTTTGGAATGATATCACTACTATTTACGGATTACTCATCTATCATTTACACTCGTGAATTTTCTACAATAACCACTTCCAATTCATAAGAAAATATTACTGAAGAACGAGTATTTGACTAAATGGTATGTCGTATTTGATGTAGATAAAGTAAAAATAAAAATAAAATAGTACATAAGCACTTGATAAATTGAATAATTATGAGAGATATGTATCTTCACATAATTGGCATACAGTTGTCTGTCGTATGTATGCACAGATTTGTGTTTTCTAGCCTAACATGGTACAGTATTGTTGTAGTTTGTAACTATCTAGCCTATTTACAAAATAGTATAATATTGGTGTCACTTAATCATCCATTCGTCTACAAGCTTGAGTTTAGTGTACTATTCTGGTCTTTTGGAACATCATATGATGACATGAGCAATTCAAGAGAACTGCAATTGATAAAACGAGAAATTTGTGCAGATTGTTCTTAACATCACATGTCATTTCAAATTGCTTACCTCACACATGGTTTCTTCTAGACATTTCAATGTAATAGATACATATAAACCTTTAGGGGGTTCTTTATTATGTTTAACAATATTGAACATTTTGTGGTCTCTGGGCTGGATGGTCTGGTTGTGATGCTTCGATTGTTCCTCTTAACAACATCATCAGTACACACTTCGAAGAGAAGGAAGCGGCTAGAGTTTCCCCACAGCTGAATAACAATTTGTTCTGTTGACCTGGAATTCAGTTGGTTGTTATCCAATTGTAGGTAATTTCTAATAGCTCACTTTTCTTTGAGGTACGTGCTGATGGTGTTCAGAAGAACAATGAATACTTTACAACCAAACTATCTAGCTCAAAGTCCACAACACCACTGTCCTCACCTTGAGCTACAAATATGATGGTCCACACAACTGTGTATCCAAAAGTTTTTCATAAATTTGAATTAGTTTCTGGGAAAATGCGGTTGTTAACAACTTCACTCCTAATGCTTGTGATCACCAAACAAGTGTTATTGTGATAATATTTATTAATGAACGATATTATGAATTTATATGACCAGTTTATATACTCATTTGATCTGCATTTAAGAATAGATAATCATGTCATTTTAGTTATATTGGTTATTTTGTATTTATTTGTATGAATAATTAGTAGCTTGTATCTGTATCTGCCCCCAAATGCCCTGGTATGGCCGAGAGCGGGGTGGGTTCGCCCTCCCTCTCGAAATACTCTCAAACGGCCACACGTATACAGCCTCTACCAGGGAAGTCCTACTCACTGCCTTCTCGTGGCGGGGGTGTTATTTACGAAAATGAGAGGACGAAAAGTGAATGTCCGGGGCTTTAACCGGATCCCAAACCAATGGTGCATATGGGCTCCAGTATCCTGCGGTAACAGATGGCGTATGAATCAATCGTTAATCACAGGCTACCATGGAACTGCATCTCCTCACGATGCTCCACTGCCTTGTGGGTCAGAGCTTTAGGTTAAAGGCTCGAGGTGCGTCTTGCTAAGAAAACCACCTGCTTCGGTATGGGCACCTGGGCAGTATCACAGCCCACACACACATAGAATGAAAATGACGATAATTACTGAAAATTCTATTCACGCTTCGATTAACAGTCAAACAATTCACATTATTATTATTATTATTATTATTATTATTATTATTATTATTATTATTATTATTATTATTATTATTGTTTACTACGTCATTTATTCACTCTCTTTTATTCCCGCTCTGTGTATCCTTATTTTTCGACTTGTACAGCAGCTCGCCTATGGTGGAAACTTGGTTCTATCTAAACGTTCTCGAGTCACTGCGTGGTTGGAAATTGAATGCTACCACCAAATACGAATACTTAAGCAGTTTTCCTGAAACCACGTGCACCATTCAAACTGGCTGCCTTCAACGTTCGCACACTTATGCAGGTCGGACAACAGATAGGGCTGGCTATGTCTTTGGAAAGACTTAATACTGACGTTTGTTGTCTATCCGAGACCCATATTCAAGACTTTGGTAAAGTACTACAAATTCGCTCTCCATCTGTCGCTTCAAAAAGCTTGTTTTACTTGCGTTTATCCGGGGACCATGTGGCATCTTCGTCTGGTCTTGCTGGCGTTGGTGTCTCACTAAGCACTAGAGCTGAGGCAGCACTAATCGATTAGATCCCCATTAACAGTCGGTTATGTGCTGTTAGATTAGAGTTCCATCAAAGTGAGAATAAATGGGCGTGAGAAACGATGTCTTTTCGTCATCTCCGCCTATTCCCCGACAGATTGCAGCTTAGGTGCAAGCAAGGATGAGTTTTACCACCAGTTAACTGTTCTTCTCCAGAAAGTGCGTTCGACAGATATTATAGTACTAGCCGAAGACTTGAATGCTCAGGTCGGGCATTTAGGCACAGAAGAGAATCGTTTGGGTGGCCGATGGGGACTTATTGGTCGCAGGACAGATAACGGGGACCGTCTACTGCAACCGTGCACAGACCACAATCTGTTTCTGGCTAGCACTAACTTTCGGCACAGTCATCGTCGATGTGCCACCTGGCGTCCTCCCTCTGTATCTCAAGCCTTGACTCAGATTGATCACATCGCAATCAGCTACCGATGGCGTAGTTGTATACAAGACTGCCGCTCCTTTTGGAGTACCTATCTGGATTCTGATCATGCCCTGGTCTGCGCCAATCTTACCTTACTTCTCAGTGACCAACAAAGTGACCGCCACCAACGGATTGACGTCAGCAGGTTGGTTACAACTTCTGTTGCTAGTAAGTATCGAACCGAGCTAGCTTTTAGGCTAGCTACCATTCCACCGAAAAGTATAGATGAGCATTGGTCGCAATTGCATGACACCATGGAAATGGCGAGTAAAGTCAGTTGTGGGTTCGCGAAATGTCCCACTTATAAGCACTGGGTTTCTTCAGGCTCCTTACAGATCATCGAGACCCGTCTATCTGCCCCCAAATGCCCTGGTACGGCCGAGAGTGGGGAAAGTCCGCTCTCCCTCTCGAAATGCTCTCACATGGCCACGCGTATATAGCCTCTGCCAGGGAAGTCCTACTCACTGCCTTCTCGTGGCGGGGGTGTTATTTACAAAAATGAGAGGACGAAAAGCGAATGTCCGGCGCTTTAACCGGATTCCAAATTAATGGTGCACATGGGCTCCAGTATCCTGCGGGAACAAATGGCGTATGAACCAATCGTTGGTCACCGGCTACCATGGGACTGCATCTCCTTACGATGCTCCACTGCCTTGTGGGTCAGAGCTTTAGGTTAAAGGCTCGAGGTGCGTCTTGCTAAGAAAACCACCTGCTTCGGTATGGGCACCTGGGCAGTATCACAGCCCACACACACATAGAATGAAAATGACGATAATTACTGAAAATTCTATTCACGCTTCGATTAACAGTCAAACAATTCACATTATTATTATTATTATTATTATTATTATTATTATTATTATTATTATTATTATTATTATTATTATTATTGTTTACTACGTCATTTATTCACTCTCTTTTATTCCCGCTCTGTGTATCCTTATTTTTCGACTTGTACAGCAGCTCGCCTATGGTGGAAACTTGGTTCTATCTAAACGTTCTCGAGTCACTGCGTGGTTGGAAATTGAATGCTACCACCAAATACGAATACTTAAGCAGTTTTCCTGAAACCACGTGCACCATTCAAACTGGCTGCCTTCAACGTTCGCACACTTATGCAGGTCGGACAACAGATAGGGCTGGCTATGTCTTTGGAAAGACTTAATACTGACGTTTGTTGTCTATCCGAGACCCATATTCAAGACTTTGGTAAAGTACTACAAATTCGCTCTCCATCTGTCGCTTCAAAAAGCTTGTTTTACTTGCGTTTATCCGGGGACCATGTGGCATCTTCGTCTGGTCTTGCTGGCGTTGGTGTCTCACTAAGCACTAGAGCTGAGGCAGCACTAATCGATTAGATCCCCATTAACAGTCGGTTATGTGCTGTTAGATTAGAGTTCCATCAAAGTGAGAATAAATGGGCGTGAGAAACGATGTCTTTTCGTCATCTCCGCCTATTCCCCGACAGATTGCAGCTTAGGTGCAAGCAAGGATGAGTTTTACCACCAGTTAACTGTTCTTCTCCAGAAAGTGCGTTCGACAGATATTATAGTACTAGCCGAAGACTTGAATGCTCAGGTCGGGCATTTAGGCACAGAAGAGAATCGTTTGGGTGGCCGATGGGGACTTATTGGTCGCAGGACAGATAACGGGGACCGTCTACTGCAACCGTGCACAGACCACAATCTGTTTCTGGCTAGCACTAACTTTCGGCACAGTCATCGTCGATGTGCCACCTGGCGTCCTCCCTCTGTATCTCAAGCCTTGACTCAGATTGATCACATCGCAATCAGCTACCGATGGCGTAGTTGTATACAAGACTGCCGCTCCTTTTGGAGTACCTATCTGGATTCTGATCATGCCCTGGTCTGCGCCAATCTTACCTTACTTCTCAGTGACCAACAAAGTGACCGCCACCAACGGATTGACGTCAGCAGGTTGGTTACAACTTCTGTTGCTAGTAAGTATCGAACCGAGCTAGCTTTTAGGCTAGCTACCATTCCACCGAAAAGTATAGATGAGCATTGGTCGCAATTGCATGACACCATGGAAATGGCGAGTAAAGTCAGTTGTGGGTTCGCGAAATGTCCCACTTATAAGCACTGGGTTTCTTCAGGCTCCTTACAGATCATCGAGACCCGTCTATCTGCCCCCAAATGCCCTGGTACGGCCGAGAGTGGGGAAAGTCCGCTCTCCCTCTCGAAATGCTCTCACATGGCCACGCGTATATAGCCTCTGCCAGGGAAGTCCTACTCACTGCCTTCTCGTGGCGGGGGTGTTATTTACAAAAATGAGAGGACGAAAAGCGAATGTCCGGCGCTTTAACCGGATTCCAAATTAATGGTGCACATGGGCTCCAGTATCCTGCGGGAACAAATGGCGTATGAACCAATCGTTGGTCACCGGCTACCATGGGACTGCATCTCCTTACGATGCTCCACTGCCTTGTGGGTAAGACCTCTAGGTCAAAGGCTCGGGGAGTGGCCCCCTAAGAAAACCACCTGCTTCGGTTTGGGCACCCGGACAGTATCACAGCCCTCGCACATATCGAATGAGATTTGTGTGGCGCATATGTATTTGGTGCCTTCTTGTACCAATATCTATGTGTTAAAATAAATAAATAAATAAATATCTACTCCGGGTGACCGTGAGTTTGACCACAAACGTCATACTTATCAAAGGCCAACAATCGTAGTGTTTCTTGACATCAGGGCTGCCTTCCATTCGTTGGACAGGACTGTTCTCTGGGATCGTGTATTGAAGAAGGGTGTGCCTGAGAAGTTTGGTAACATCTTAAAGGCCCTATATACAAACACCTCAGGCAGAGTGAAGGCATACAACCACCTTTCTCCATTGTTCCATTCAAGCAGTGGGGTTACACAGGGCTGCTCAATTTCACCATCCCTCTTCAACTTTGCCATCGACGACATTCTGGAAACAGCTCTGATGGATGTAAGTAATGGTGGTGTGGATCTGTTGCCTGGAGAAAGACTTCTCGACCTTGAGTATGCGGACGATATTGTCTTTCTGTGCGATAATGCCCAAGGCATGCAATCCGCACTTAATCAGTTGGCAATCAATGTCCGTAGGTGCGGTATGTGGTTTGTACCTTCGATGTGCAAAGTACTCCTACAAGACTGGCAGGATCCTATTCCTGTACTCACCCTGGATGGTGAGCAGATAGAAGTAGTCGAGAAGTTCGTGTATCTGGGTAGCTGCATAAGTGTTGGTGGTGGCGTGAGTGATGAGATCAATGCACGTATAGTGAAGCCAGAGCGGCTTATGCCAATCCGGGCCATCTTTGGCGTCTTCGTGATGTTAGTCTGGCTATAAAAGGTCGGATCTACAACGCGTCGGTGTGAGCAGTTCTGCTCTATGCTTGTGAAACCTGGCCTCTCCGAGTTGAGGACGTTAGACGACTCTCTGTGTTCGATCATCACTGTCTCCGAAGGATTGCTGACATTCAGTGGCAACACCATGTCAGTAATGCAGAGGTTCGGCATCGTGTGTTCTGGCACAGAGATGATAATTCAATTGGTGTTACCATCTTGAAACACCGACTTCGGTGGCTTGGACATGTTCTCCGAATGTCGTCCCAGAGAATTCCACGTCGTACATTATTTGTAAGAAGCGGAGAGGTGTTCAGTGTATGACATGGTGTCGGGGTATGAAAGAAAGCTGCAAAGAGCTAGTTTGTGTTGGTCCTTCACGACTCCCTAGTTGGGGTCCGAGAAATGGTGCAACACAGTGGCTAGAGACGTAAGATATAGCTCAAAATAGAAGCCAGTGGCGATCCTGCTGTAACCTTCTTTTACTTTCTTTATAAAAAGTGGTTGTATCTTCCTTAACTGGAAGATTTCTTCTGATTATACCTTTCCGTTACCCCATTATTATTACACTACCTTACACTAGTCTGGTCGTTATTGTTCTTTTTTTCTTTTACGCTCCTTACCTTATTTTTTCTCTTCCCATTCTCATTGTTTTGTGTGGCGCATATATATTCGGTGCCCTCTTGTACCAATATTTATGTGTTCAAATAAAATAAACCCTTTCATTTGCATATGACTACTTGTATGTGTTTGAATGTCTGATTGGATCAATTTCCTGGATTTATTAATTCGGGAAGCATACATAATTTCACTTATTCCATTCTGTTCCAATACATTTCTAAATAATACCTATTCTAATTCAATCCATTACTGCTTTGCCCAAATGTTTGTCTAGCTGTCAAAAAACAAGTTTGATATTACTTCAGTTGTTTTTTCGTTATGTTAATATACCTGTGAGTATCGTTGGAGTATGAGCGCGATTATTAGTTCGAATTCGTACAAATAACCAAGCAATTATGTAAAGGTTTTCGAATAACTAAACTGAAACGACTAGATTTTATACTTAACAACTATGTTACTTCTCAACCTTATCAATAGTTTCAGTGTTACTTAACATTAGAATACCTTAATCGTACTGTTTGTTATCCCATAACTTGATAATATTTTGGTACCTACAGTCAACTGAAAGCGATTCCTATTCGAATCTTACATATGGATAATATGATCTAACTTTGAATATTTTAATGAGATTAATCATTAAGAATTATTTTTGATGAAGGGTTGTCGGGTTAATTGTTAACTTCCATCCTTTTGGTTAATCCAACGAAAATTAACTGCATAGATTTCTGGAAACTGACATTTTTCTCCCTTTTAAGTTTTAATGTCTGATTTTTCTTGCCTTATAGTTATTTACAACGAAAATACCAAGTCGAATAATCATATCATTGGGTTGTTTCTTTCTAGTTCACTATATTTTTGGACATTCATTATCTGACGTCGTTCAAAATGTCTATGTAAATGCTTCTCATCCATCTGTATCATTATTCCCAGCTTCCAACTTATCTTCACCTAAAAATGAGCCGAGTACAAATCAAACCACGCAGGCTAAATGGCAGCATTTATGTCCATATATGAAGTACAAGTGTAGTGAGTTACCAGGTTATTGTCTTATGTGCAATTTCAATACTTCATGTGTTTATGGCGCGGTAGTCAATGTTACTTGCTTCCCCCGTCCAGGAGTTTATTGCAAAGATTCAAGTGGTATAGCTCAAGAAAACCAAACTTCTCAAACTAATTCATCAGACTTTTCTTATCCGATGAATGATCAAACAAATTACCTAATTCAAAAACCGATTGTGTGTCGATTTTGCCACCAGTTAGGTGATACTGAGATTGTTTGTATCGGTCGAACTAATTGTCGTCAACCTAATGTACCTCGGAGTTTTTATGAAACGAAATGTGAACCATTTCCTCATATATTATGCCTAGGACGAAGAGTATTCAGGCGTATGGTACCTTGTGATTGGTCTTCTGGTAAAAGTTATGTACTAACTGTTATCTTAAGTTTATTTTTCGGCGGTTTGGGAGTTGATCGTTTTTATTTGGGCATGTGGATAGAAGGATTAGGCAAATTGTTTAGCTTCGGTGGTCTTGGTTTATGGAGTATCGTTGATTTTATCTTAATTGTATCCGGATATGTAAAGCCTCCTGGAGATGCTGTATACTGGTGATATAATAGGACGCAATAGTGATGTAAATCACTCATATAATTCAAGGTAATTTATACTTTTTACTACTTCCAATAATTTCAACAACTATCGCGTGCTGTAATTCTTCCTGTCTCCTATATATAACTGTGTCCTTCAAGTGTTAGTTTCTAGTACTTGAACATATTTTAATAACTTGTATATTTTTATGTATTTGTTTCTGTTTCTTCTGAAGATGTAATCTTAAATCTTTTTCTTTTTGCAAATGTTCATGGTTATTCTAATAATTTTTCATTTTAGTCAAATGATATTGTTTGTCGATAGTTTTCAATCAAAATATTTTCTTTCAAAAATTTTGTATTTAGCGGTATTAATTCAATTAACACTGTTGGATTTAGTGATAAACAGATTATCTATCGTTATGATTATAATATTATATCTATGTAACATCAATACGACAATTTAATTAACACTAGTCATCAATTGCTTACTTAACCTAAATTGCATTTGTTTATTGTTCCTAAGATTCCTCCTGTATCGTTGTACTCTAGGTGTTGCGTATAAAAAAAGTACTCTAACAAATTAAACTTACAAAACCATTATAGTGGATTTGTTGTGCTAATAAGGTATGGCAACTTGGAATGATGCATATATGTGTCTGGTCATATGTTGTAGCTGACTAACTGACTATAATGAATTTCCCTCTACATAGGACAGTGATAAACATTTATGGTGACTTACAGAAATTCTCCAATCACCCATTTTTACTAACAACCTAAATGAGCGATTGATATTCAGTCGTCAACTCTGAATAAAGTTAAAGATATCAAGACTTGGGGCATAAAAAGCTACAAGTTCTGATAGATCATTTTCAGAGGTTTTAAGCAAGGTAGTTTAGAATTATTATATATGCTAACTGAGATATTGGTTATAATGTCTCCGTAAGATGTAGTTTCACTTAATCAATCTCATTCTTCCGTTTTGTAGAGAGTGACCTAGATCCTCTTGTGATAGTTTTGAAAAAAAAATCACATTAAAAATGATAAATATTGTAGCTTGCAATAAAACGAAGTTAATACTTCATAGGTTGGAACTTCTAGGACTGTCATATTATAAACTATTATTCCTATTTTGACCATAGAGTTATTAAATAATTGTTTAACAGTATTTCTATATTATCCTATTTATAAGCTTTCGCTTAATGTCTAAACTGTTGATATGCATTTGACTATTCCTAACTTATTATTGACTAATTATTTCACCCTTTCCTTTATTACTTCTATCTTGACTGTAGACAAACGATGGTCTCTTTACAACGTAATGACATCTGGTAATGCGTATATTTAGAACATAACAATAAATTTGCCAGCTCACTGTGATCTTATTCCGGACTGAATACTCGGGTAGGATAAGAGGTGCAACGTGGACTCATCCGCGTTAAGATTATCTCAGTCACTGCTCAAGAATAATTATTGTTGGTCAAAGCGTACCATTAGTTAAAGCTTAAGTTTCTGGTTTATAGGCGAACGCGTACTCGGATTAGAAGATTATAGACTGGATTCATATTGGTAGGATCGTATCTGGTGTTTTAACTCAAGAACATATAGCAAGGTTCAATACCTAATTATCGCAGTGTCGCAAATCTTTTACTTTTTGTTTACTTATCGTGCTAGAGACACGTAAAACAAACAAAATATTATACTGTTAGGTCAAGGTTCCAACAGATTGCAATGTGCTATACACCTTAAGTGATAATGAGTGGTTGTTCAAAGTATCTTTCTCAGGATTGGTTCCCATCAATGCGTAATCTTATTGAGTAAGAGTTGTTACGTAAGTTTTCTGGTCACTGCTTTTCTCGATAGATAAAAAGCTTAACTGTCTATAAAATTATTATTTTGTGCAACAATTCATTTTGTCGTACTTCATGATCGCGAAGTATTATGTATCTCAAATCCAGAAATACGTTTTCAGTCATACGTTTTCTAAATATTTCTCTCCAGTAATGGAGTGACCGAATAAACTATTGATTTCAGGCATGGAGAGCCAGGTATGATATTATAAAATTTAGTCAAATGATATAGTTGGTGAGTTCGTTTACTATCACACTTAGCTAAATTTATCAGCATCTAAACTTACTGTTCAATTATCATATTGTTGATCAAGATATAGATAAATTCCGTAAGCAGAGATTACTTACCCACTCACTGGTGTTAATTATTCAGTATCTGGAAACCTAAGTGTTAATGATATAAGTAGAACCGATTAGTAGTAGAATTTATGATCTTATTTAGTTAGTATTCTATGAAAGTAGCTTGTGTCAACGTAAAAGTTAATTCCGTACGATTAACGTGAACTCACCCTTTCAAAGTGTAGTAAATAACACTAAAATATAATTTATATGTAGAAGAAAAATGTAATCCACTTTGAAAAAAGATTGATTTATGCTCTTTTGATAGACGATTGTTCTTTAATGTGTATTTCGACTAAAAATGATTTCAGTGTTGTCATTTTCTCCGAGGTAGATCGTTCAATCATGGAGTTTTTTTTATAGTTAACTTAATGCGGCAAACTTTCTAAGTGAATATGGATTAAAATCGAAGTAAAAAACGAATCATGTGCATCGAGTGATGTGATGTACATGAAATATTGTTATGAATATTACAAAACAACTGTCAACCTCACACGATATTTACCATTCAATAGAAAAATTCGTCATAAAATAATGAATTCTGTACATACACAAAAATATTGTTTATTATTTTCTGTCAGTTATACTTATGAGTATTACTGTTGCTGGGAGTTCTAAATATTCTTTTTTTTATATAGAGGATTGGAATTCTTAATTTTGTAATTTTATAAAATTTTTAGAAAAGTTCTCGTCATATTGACAATTTCCTTGTCAGTATTGTTTAGAGAATTTAGTTTCTCCTCCTTTCTCTATAAACAAGTTGGATCACAAGTACAATAAAAGCTTAATGATCTATCAATAGAAATCCCATTGAAAAAGAATTCAAAATCTCATCATTGAAATTGCTGTGCAAGGTTTGTCAATTTGTTAGCCCAACCCACTGAGTTAAAGTGTTGTGACCTACCTGCTATACTCATGATGGCTTTCGAAGTCGGAACAGATGAAGAAACCTCAACTATGAAGATTTAATCTACTAAATGCTCAAATAGTGTACAATAGTTCATGTAACTGGCTCTTTGTCTTATTACAGCAGGGCTACAAAAAGGAATTCCTTTCTGGATTTTCTATATAAATACTCATTCTACTTACAATTTTTAAGTAGCTACGTTTTACTGTGAAAATATTAATTGTAAGTCATTTTACGCGTTGATTATTTTGAGTGATTGGATTCATCAGAGTGGATATACGTACCCTGGATCAAGAGGGTACAAGTATTTATAAACAATTGTTTACGCAAGGTACTTAATGTCCGATAAACGGATACCATCAGCAACAGCCTACTGTGGGAGAGGACAAGCCAGCTTCCAGTTGAAGAGGGAATTAGGAAAAGACAATGAAGGTGGATAGGACATATATTGAGGAAATCATCAAACTGCATCACGAGTCAAGTCCCAACATAGAATCGTAAAGGGAAACGAAAAATAGGACATGAAAAGGGTGAATAACAACTGGAAAGGATTTCCCAGGACAGGGTTGGATAGAGAGTGCTGGTGAGTAGTGGCCTATATTCTTTCACGAGGGGTAACAGGCGTAAGTAAGTATATGAGTTTTCATTTTGTTTGCGGCTAATCCAACACTTAAATGTGAATGTTTTATTTATTTCCAGTTACTACAAACTAAACTCCGCCTGGAGTCCCTCCGGGGGCTACTGCCGGTCCCAAGCCCGGATAAAGGAGGAGGGTTGGGCATGGGGTTAGCGTCCCCATCCCGTAGAAAACTAACTCGCTAAAAAAACGCTAACCAGAAAAAATTATTCAAACCTTTTAAACTCTTCCCTGGGAGTCAGAAGGTCTTCATTTAGAAGAACTATGACGCCTCATGATGAAAGCCGAATTCCTTCGGAAGTTACGAGGCCGATACCCCTTCTGACAACCAGAGCAACCATTTATTTAGGTACATGGAATGTTCGTACAATGTGGGACACCGGGAGAGCCTTCCAAATTGCTGCAGAAATGAGAAAATACAACCTAGAGGTACTTGGGATCAATGAAACACATTGGACACAAGTTGGACAACAACGACTAACTACAGGAGAGCTCCTGTTATACTCCGGCCATGAAGAAGAAAATGCACCACACACACAAGGAGTTGCATTGATGCTGTCCAAACAAGCGCAAAATGCACTTATAGGATGGGAATCTCATGGACCAAGGATCATCAAAGCCTCGTTCAAAACAAAGAAAGAGGGCATTTCAATGAACATCATCCAATGCTATGCGCCTACCAACGACTACAATGAAGACGCTAAAGATCAATTCTACAATAGGCTGCAGTCAATCGTCGAGAAGTGCCCAACAAAGGACCTGACCATTCTGATGGGAGATTTCAACGCCAAGGTTGGAACGGAAAACACTGGATATGAAGACATCATGGGACGACACGGACTGGGAGAAAGAAACGAAAATGGTGAGAGATTCGCAAATCTATGTGCCTTCAATAAGCTGGTCATAGGCGGCACCATATTCCCACATAAACGCATACACAAAACCACATGGACTTCACCGGATCACTCTATACAAAACCAAATCGACCATATTTGCATCAACAAAACGTTCAGGAGGACTATAGAGGACGTGAAAACCAAGAGAGGAGCTGATATAGCATCAGATCATCACTTGCTGGTCGCCAAGATGAAATTGAAACTTTAGAAGCACTGGAAAACGGAGTGGACAATATCACAAAAGTTCAATACGGCCTTTCTTCAGGATACTAACAAACTCAACAAATTCAAGATATTATTATTATTAATGGCTTTATTCAATATTATATTTTGGTACAATATAGAATTCTCAGCAATCCTCAACAATAAGTTCCAGGCCTTTCATGATCTACTCAATGGAGAAGGAACTACTGTGGAGAGCAACTGTAAGGGGATCAAAGAGGCAATCACTTCAACATGTCATGAGGTCCTGGTTCACAAGAAGCACCACTACAAGGAATGGATCACTGTTGGTACACTGGATAAGATTCAAGAAAAGAGGAACAAGAAGGCAGCGACCAATACCAGCCGAACAAGAGCAGAAAAAGCCAAGGCACAAGCTGAATACACGGAAATAAACAAACAAGTGAAGAGGAGCATCAGAACCGACAAACGTAAATATGTGGAAGATTTAGCAACGACAGAGGAAAAGGCTGCAAGAGAAGGAAACATGAGACAATTGTATGACACGACAAAGAAACTCTCTGGAAATCGACGCAAACCAGAACGGCCAGTGAAAAGCAAGGAAGGCAAGGTAATCACCAACATTGAAGAGCAACAAAACAGGTGGGTAGAACACTTCGAAGAAATCTTGAATCGACCAGCTCCACTGAACCCACCCAACATCGAAGCAGCACCCACGGACCTCCCAATCAATGTTGGCCCACCAACAATTGAAGAAATCAGCATGGTCATCAGACAAATCAAGAGTGGCAAAGCAGCAGGATCGGACAACATCCCAGCAGAGGCACTAAAAGCAGACGTAGCGGTAACTGCAAGGATACTCCACATTCTCTTCAATAAGATTTGGGATGAGGAACAAGTACCAACAAACTGGAAAGAAGGAATTCTGGTCAAAATACCAAAGAAAGGCGATCTCAGCAAGTGTGATAACTACAGGGGCATCACTCTTCTCTCAATACCGGGAAAAGTCTTCAACAGGGTATTGTTAAACAGGATGAAGGACTGCGTAGACGCCCAACTTCGTGACCAACAGGCAGGATTCCGTAAGGATAGATCGTGTACAGACCAAATCGCAACTCTACGGATAATTGTGGAACAA